CCGCTCTGATGGGACACCACAGGTATGAGTATTTACGTTCTTGTTTGCAAATCCGCACGATCTTTATAATTTTTGCACGTTTCATTCAACTTACTGGTCAATCACATCAAATTCTTGAAGGAGGTTTTCAATTCCAGGGATGAATCGAAAAAAAATATTTATTTGTTCAGTCTCTTATTTTTTTTATGAAATAAAAAAGAATCTATGTATCGAAGGATCAGAAAACAATGGGTCCAAGTCTCTTAGCGGTATAGGAACAACAATCAATTTAGTCTCAATAGTTTGTAAAGGAACTCTGCCATCAGCTTATGCCTAAAACTCCTACTGATAGGAAATAGAACTTCCCTGCAGCGTATTCAACGCCAGTAGGTTCAGATCTCCACTTCGTTTCACCCCCAAACTGAGGATATCGATTTCTTGATTGAATTTAAGTTTGTCTTATTTGGTATCCCGAGTATTCCACCTAGGATGTGAGACAGATCTACATATTGATCTCTTTTTGCTAAAATCGGCTGATGGGTTCTTAATTGTAAACTGGACAGGTTGCTTACACTTTCGATGCGGGGCCAAATGCTGTCATGATCGCACGCAATAGAAACGTGGCAATTCAATTGCTTCAGAAGTTGCTCGTCTGCTTTCCCCCAAACCCTGACACTGATATGAATAGGTGAGATAGAGATCTTTTGGCTCTGAATTATAACTCTCGAGAGGAAAAAAGAAAGAAAGAAAGAAATCAGTATTCTATTTCAGAGGAAGAGTTGTCATGTTTGTACTGCTTTCTTTCTCAGTTATGTCCTAGGGGATAAGTCGATTCTGCAAGAGGCGGGATTGGGAGGAGCAAACGGTGTGGAGGCCCTTCACCCTCCACCGGAAGTGAAAGAAAATGTTCACAAAGGGGAAGTTAATTATTTCATCTGCACCAGACCCGGGAGAGGTCCCGTCTTGCTTCAAGATCAAACCCACGCCCTTCTTGATTCCGCGACCGGCCTTCCCAAGTAATAATCATTTCTCAACTTGATCTCGATATTTGAGCAGCTATCACTTTTTGTGCATCGTACTGCATAATCTGAGATTCTGCTTGTCAATTCAAATTTCTCTTGGGATATTTGCTCCAAATAATCATTGTTCTCTGAGTGCATTTCTTCTTGTCATTGTATGTCGATTGGATTCCTTGCTGCTGCGAGCATCTTCCTGACAATAAAGTGATGATTTTTGTACATTTTCTTTAGCTGCAGCTTGAACGAATTGTTCATAAGATTTTTTTTTTATTGGATCGTGATCTAAGTCTAAGTTCACCCGAAAAAAGGACATTGGCTTGACGATGGGTTGCGTGACTTGCGTCCATGACTTTGTTCTGGGGAGCAAATATTATCACTCGTAAGGTATTGCGGCCGTAGTTAACTAGCAGGGATGGCCAAAATTACGTGGGTCGAATCAGGATAATATACACGAATTCAGGTGCGAGTTTGAGTTTTCCTTTCCAAAATGATTTATATTGCAAAATTTGTGAAATTGACTTATGTGGTTAGGGTTAGTATAAATACGTTTTATATACTTCATTCATTTCATATTAATCAAAACAGAAAATATTTTCCTCTCTTTTCTATTGTTGAATTCTCCCTAAATTCAATAGAATAAATATTTTCCGTAGAGATTTCATCTGTTCCTTTTTTCACTTTTCTTCTCTAATTCAATTCTTTCAAAATTTCACCAGGTTTGTTTTGATTTTCACCAAATTTGATTCTCTTTGATTCAAGTTCAACATCTTCTTCCATTGCAATTTTTTTTTCCTGCACGATTGATTTGCCTTCGGCGAAATTCGCCAGCAAATCCTCCGATCCACTACGTTTCTCTATCATCAAAGCCAACTGTATTCGGTCTTCTCAGATCTGTCTGTTCGAGTTGTGGTTAGGCGATTGCCACCTTCCGATTCGTAGATTTGGACCACTATGAACTTTTTTTTTGATAACGGAAGACCCCTAACTGCTACCCTTCGGACGCATTGACTAGGTAAACCTCTGGCCCGGGAGAAGTCTTTGTATATGGATCATATAAACCCAGAGATTACCTCCCTCCCCACCAACCAGGAATTGAATACTCAACCTCAAGGTGGAGTTACCTCCTATCAGCTTGACCACTTGCCCACGATCTGTTGGGTGGACCACTGTGAACTTTGTTCCATTGATTCTCTGTGTTTCGTCGCTGAGTCCGGCGAGATTTCAACTCCATCTCAGATTTCGTCTCCTTTGCTCTCGGTATTGCTCAGTTATAGATTCATTCGCTGTTTCATCATCTATTATTGTCTGCAGTGTCGAGTTTTCCATTCCAGATCATTATCACAGATCTGTAACAATGGCGACAGTTGATCTTTGTAGTCTTCTCCAGATTTGGTTGTTCTATGTTGTTTTCGGATAATGATTCAGTTTGTGAATCTTGCGCATCCTCCGCCACTTGCGCTAGATCTTACGGTGCCATAATTGCCTCGTCTTCATCCGTCACTTTGGATTGGTTCAGCTAACTCTTGATCTCCGATCAGCCATGGATATGGTTCTGTTCTTTGTGTCATACACCATGTGACACTTCTGATCGCTGCTAGTTGACTTAATCTCGTTGAAGATTAGTCTCCAGATATGCTTTTATTTCTCCAGCTCTGTCTTGTTGCACTGCTTCTGACTTTAGCCTTGTTGCAACTACCGTTGGCATTTACCTCGTTTGATTTCTCCATTGGATTGGTGTGATTTGGTTTTCTTTGTGGTTGCTTCATCTATCATCTTCTCCGCTTTTGTCCGTTTCTATTGATCTGATATGGTTTGATTTCTAATTCGGTTTGCTACTTCATTTGTTCTCCGACTTTGATGGTCATGTTTTTGTCTCGAGTGCGGAGACTCATTTCATGCCGTGAATGCGTTCTTCGAGCCGTGGAAGTGTTTTTTGAGTGTGGGGCTCATTTTATGCCATGGAGACGTTTTTCGAGCAGTGGAGGTAAATTTCATGCCGTAGAGGTGTTTTCCGAGCCGTGGAGGCTTTCTTTGAGCCATAGCGGCTTTGTTTCATGCCGTGAAGGCTTTATACGAGTCGTGGAGACTTCGTTTCATGTCGTGGAGGCTTTATCTGAAGATCGATCTATCATTGATCGGTTTGATTGTGATATTCATGTTGTAATCACTTTCATCTTATGGGTAGAATATGTGGCTCTATGGTTAGGGTTAGTATTTCATATTAATCAAAACAGAAAATATTTTCCACTCTTTTCTATTGTTGAATTCTCCCTAAATTCAATAAAATCTTTCTTAAAATTTACAAAAAAAATTTGGATTTTCTTATCTATAATCAAATTCGTTTGGCTATCGTAAACCTGGTATGGGTATCCCAACTTTTTCACGTACAAGTTTGTTTGGATATTTGAGATTTGGATGTTTGATTTTTTTCGGTACAAATGAATTCAATGCAAAATTGGATTTGGTTTGGGTATTGATAATCTTAGATTTATCAAGCAATACAATACGGAAGAGGCAGAGAAAGAAAAAAAAGTTGCGAGAGACAGAGTAGATCGGACCTTTCCGTAGCCGGCGAACACTTCCGCCGTCGACCCCATGGGTCGGCGAAAGAAGAAATCGCCTTCCAGATCGCCCCCACCAAAGCCCCATCATCCCCGTGGATCTATCGAACCCCAAATTCTCCTCCATTCCCCCCTCTTCCCGACAAGACCTCCCTCCCCAAATCCATGGCGAGATTGCATTTGTCTCCCGGTCGGAATCCTCTCCTCTTGATTCATGCCCTAACCCACTCGATCATCCTCCGCCTACACTCCGCCGCACCTCTTCCAGACCCAGAGAAAAGAGTTGCCTCCCTTGTCCAGAAATCGACCCCCGTCGCCTCCCGTCATGTTCCTTTTTCTAGAAATTCCTTCTCCAACCATTTTCGACCCCCTTTCAAATTCCCCCACCATCGCCTCCTATATCGCAGATTTTCCGGCGCTCACCCCTCCGTAACCAAAGCTCCTGACAAACACCCTTTGGCTGCCCTCCCACTCTGCTCAGGGATCGACATTGAGCCCCCCATACGGAAACTGATACCACTCCCTTTGTGGATGCCCCTTCTTATGATCTCCTCAGGGTCACCTGTACTGACGCTCTGGTCAACCATCTTGCCAACCCCTGGAACATGCTCGACCACAAACGGTCTTGAACCCTCTGGTCTGTCATTCTCAAATCAGTATCACGAAACTCAAGTTCCCAAGGCCTCATGGGTGGGTCTTTTTTCTGAAATACACTCGCATTCATTTCAGTGGTACACCATAAAAATAAAAATTTTACTCAAATAGCCGAGTTGGGTCGCAGCAATTTCTCAGGTACACCGAAAAAATAGACAGAATTATCAAATATCGAGTTTACCCCTGTAAAAAATGGAAAAGACCTACAAACCCTTAATGAAACCCGCGTGTGAGGTAAAAACACGTGCGGAATTTTTTTAATTCGAATTAAATGAAAAACTAGTGAAAACGTTTAGTTAAAACCGTAAAAAGGAAAGTTAGGGTTTTTTACCCTTTCAAAATCGAAAACGGCAAAGAGAAGAGAAAGCGAGGGAGGGAAAGTGACTCATGCGAAATCGAGAGAAGGAAACGAATCGAGAGTCGAAATCGAAGCGAAATCAGCGGAGTGTCAGCGAAAGCAGGAAGAAAGCGACGAAACCCAGAAAAATCGAGAGCCAGACGAACAAAATGAAGCCATCGTCGTCGAGGGAAGGAGGTCGCGGTCGAGGTCGAGTCGGTGCTGGAATCAGAGTGGTGTCGAGGTTTGCCGGCGAGAGAATGCAGACGGAGCCTGAGACAGAGAATACGGACACGGAGACAGATCCGGAGCCAGAAAGAACAATGGAGGGAAATGCTTCTCCGAAAACACATGTAAGTAGAAATCTGGGTTTAGGGTTTTCATGTTGGAATTAGATTTAATTTTGGGTTTTTAAATCTGGGTTAAAGGGGAGTGTGATGTCGGATAATGCGAAGAGTTGAACAGATTTGGTGAAACCGTGCTCATGTAAATTTTAAATTTTAAGTGTTTTATACAAAGTAGCAATTAAGAAATGATAGTGAAGTAGTGGAATTTGAAACCCGTTTCTGAGAATGTCATGTGTTGTGATGTATGTTTGATGAATCTCGTTGTTTTGTTGCAGAATTTGGATATACCCAAAGCCGAATTCTACTATAAATTTGACGACATGAACAAGATTTCGGTGAAGTTATCGTCAAAGTGTTTCCACATAGAAGCTGTGGAATTACTCGAGCACCACATGACGGAGGAGGAAAAAAAGTATTTCACCGAACAATCGCAATTCAGGCACATATTTCATATGAAGAAGAAACAATCATTGAAGATAAGTTTAATGGTTGCACTCATCAACCAATCAGTCAAGACCAAGAAAGATGACGAGTTATGGTTCGTGATGAACGAAGTCCCAATTAGGTATTCGCTGTGGGAACACGCTATTCTCTGTGGTTTAAATTGTTCTCCGTTGCCTGAGAATTGGGAGGAAATTGGAGGGTTCGAATTCTACCGTAAATTCTTTGGTCAAGAGAGTTTTGAAAAGGTTATGAAAGCAGAAGTAATGAAGAAGTTTGGAGAATTAGCTGTAGATGACAGAGATGACCGATTGAAGATGGCTTATTTGTTGCTGCTCAGTTATGTCATTGGGCACCAACATTCGGAATACGTGAATCCATTTCTGTTGAAGATTGTCAACAATGTGGATGCATGCGAAAAATTCCCTTGGGGGACGTTCACGTTCAACAATGTTCATGAGTTTGTGGTGAACTATCTGAATAAACATCGGAAGCCGGCTAATCAGTGGAACTTACCAGGGTTTATAATTCCCCTCACGGTAAGGGTTTAGGGTTTACTAAACAAAATAAAGAGTTGTCAAGAAATACTTTATTAATGTTTTGTATTTGTTATAACAGATGTTGCCGTTCGAATGTATTCCCAAGCTTCGTTCAGGCGGATGGTATAGTGAAGTCAGGGTGGAAGGAAATGTGAAACAATCCTGTCCAAGGATGTGCCGACGATGTTTCATTCCGAAAAAGAAGTATGGAATCAGACAAGGTTTGACAAGGATCGGAAGGACGCAGGTCAGTTCCAAAAGAGTAGTAATAGTGTAGTCTGAAAAAATAGTGTTAGGGAAGTTGAAAAACAGTTGTGGTTTTTAGTCGTTTTCTTACTTGAACATTTAATTTCAGGATATTGCGAGCATTCTAATTCCAGAGGAGGCTGAGAGGCGTCTGGTTGTGCATTTGGAGACAATTGATAATGTTGATGAGGTGGTTGATAGTTGGATGGCGCATTTGGTTGAAGATGTGAAATCTGTGAAATGGAGATATACTCGAGGCTGATGTGAAATCTCGCATCGAAGTGCCAATTGAGGTGGTTGATAGTTGGATGGCGCATTTGGTTGAAGATGTGAAATCTGTGAAATGGAGATATACTCGAGGCTGATGTGAAATCTCGCATCGAAGTGCCAATGATGCAGAAGAAAAGGAAAGCAGCTGCTTCAACAAGAAATGTGGAAAAAAGAAGAAGAAGAAGTGAAAAAGGCAAAAGACAAGTGACTTATAATAATGAAGAAGAAGAAGAAGAAGAAGAAGAAGACGAAGTGCCAATGATGCAGATGCAGAAGAAAAGGAAAGCAGCTGCTTCAACAAGAAATGTGGAAAAAAGAAGAAGAAGAAGTGAAAAAGGCAAAAGACAAGTGACTTATAATAATGAAGAAGAAGAAGAAGAAGAAGAAGAAGAAGAAGAAGAAGAAGCTGACCAAGGCGATGGTCAAGATTTAACTTCTCAAGTCTCGCATTTGAAAGGGCAGATTGGGTATCTGACTTGGAAGTTGGCTGAGACAGAAAAGAAATTGCAAAGTGCGATTGCAGTACAAGGTGAACAAATGAAGCAAGCGATTGAAGGTCAAGGTGAGTTTATGAAGAAAGTGATTGTGGCCGGTATGATCGCAGCGGATAAGTACGACAATCCCTTTGAAGTTGAAGCTCGGTTGGACTACTTGATGAAGAAAATGACTGAGTTGACTGGGAATGAAAAGGCTGAGGGTTCGGCCAGGACTACGAGAACCCCTCCGGAAACACATGAAGAGGCTGTCGAAAATGTGTTTAACGAACCAGACATGGTGGCTGTAGACATTCTCAAGGGTTTATCTCAGACGGCTGTAGTGGAACAAGAAAAAGAAGGAGAAGATGAAGAAGGAGAGAAAGAAGAAGAAGAAAAAGAATTTGAAGAAGGAGAAGAGACTGAGACAGCTAGTGAAGAAATCAGAGAGGAAGATTCTGAAAAAGAAGGAGAAGGTGAGGAAGCAATTGATGAAGAGTCTGAAGAGATAGAAAAAGAAAAAGAATATGAAGATGCGGGAAAAGAGGATGAAGAAATGGGACAAGAGGCTACTGAAGAAGGAGATGGAGGGGAAGAGGTCGAGGAAATGGGAGAAGAGGCTGTTGCTGAAGGGGAGAAAGATGTTGCAACAGAAGAGGGTTTAGAGGCTGAGAGAGTGGGAGAAGAAACTGAAACAGATGATGATGGAGGGGAGGTCGAGGAAGAAGGTGCAGAGATTGTGAGGCCGAACAAACCAACTGACAGGTTATTACGAGTCAGAAAAACATCATCCAGAGTGTTAAGAAAGTGGACAAAGGGTGCTGAAGAAGGAGATGGAGGGAAAGAGGTCGAGGGAATGGGAGAAGAGGCTGTTGCTGAAGGGGAGAAAGAGGCTGCAACAGAAGAGGGTTTAGAGGCTGAGAGAGTGGGAGAAGAGGCTGCAGCAGAAGAGGGTTTAGAGACTGAGAGAGTGGGAGAAGAGACTGAAACAGATGATGATGGAGGGGAGGCCGAGGAAGAAGGTGCAGAGACTGTGAGGCCGAACAAACCAACTGACAGGTTATTACGAGTCAGAAAAACATCATCCAAAACAACGAGTCTATGGGCAGATACAATGAAGTCTATCAATTCGAAGGGTGGAATCATTAGATCGCGAGGAAGGGGAAGAATAGGTAGAGGTAGAGGTCGTGGGAGATTTGGATTAAGACGTATCCATGGGCGGATACAATGAAGTCTATCAATTTTATGAACTCAGTTTTATGCGATTATGTCCTTGGTACCTATACTCTTGAACTCTGTTTCGTAGACCTTTGAACTCAGTTTGTGGTTTGTATGTTTGTGTTATACTTGTGGATTATGGTCTTTTATGTTTGTGATTAGTTTGTGGATTATGGTTGTTTGTACAATATTATTGTTTGTGAATTGTGATAGGTTTGGATTTGTAAAAAACTAAGTAAACCCTTGTTAAAAACAATCTGCGAGAAGTCGTAAGTTAGGGCTATAGAAGTCGCAACAAACAAGTAATGTCAAAAAATATTATGTAAATTTTATAATCGTATAAACCATAGACAAAAACAATCCATCAGATCAGAAAACTTTTCTGCGATGTGGTCCCCACCTCAGAAAAAAGTCAACATTTCAGCGCAGTGGACTCCACAGATGGAAAAAACATCGGGCAAAGTAACACAATTCTGACAAGTGGGCCCATGACATTTTTAAACATTCGAAAAACCTTTTATTTAAGACTTAATTGCATCCAATTTACTTGTAATACCCCGATTCCCGAATAAATTATTTAAATTAACTTCGGGAATAAAATAGGGTAAGACAAGTCTAAAATATAAGGTGATTGGTATAAGAATCGAACCAAGGATCAACGGGACTCGAATGCGTCGAAAACGTCGAAAAAACAAAGGAAATAGGGCGTAGACCGATCGGTCCAGAGGTAGACCGACCGGTCTAGCGAAAGACGGAGAAAAAGACGAAAAAACGGTACAGAACGGACAGACCAGGAGGTAGAACGGACGGACTGCCCGTTCGCGAAGCGGAACAGACGGACCAGGAGATAGAACGGACGGACTGCCCGTTCGCAAAACGGAACGGACGAACCAGCAGGTAGAACGGACGGATTGCCCGTTCGCGAAGCAGAACATACGGACCAGCAGCAGAACGGACGGTCTAGGGTCCTGGGAGCAAAACGCCGAAAAATGCTTACTTTCTTCCACCTTTCGGCCGCGATTATTGCGCGACATCTCGACCCCACGCGCCACCAGCCACCACCCCTGTCTAGTGGACGACACCCTCTGGCCCTCCTACCCTCTCCCTAGCTCCTATGGCGGCGTTAGAGGTCGATTTAACCGGCTCCAACAGGTGAAGATCACCATTCTGCAACCCAACCTGTTCTTCGAAAACAGAGGAAAATAGAGAGATTCGGGGAGATTTGAGGCGAAACAAGTTCGGGAAATCAAAGTAGGACATCCCAAGGAGGTTCCTGGAAAGTTTCACGACCAAAGACGGTCTGAAGAACACACACGAGCTCGGACAAAAACGCACATCACTTGAATCCGAGGTGAGTGGTTTGGATTGTGTTTGTGAGATTCTATTTTCATGATTTATGGTGTAGACTAGTGATTCTGCAAGAGTTAAGCACTTAGGAATGTTAAGTATTGAGTGGGTAACGATTAAACCTTAAATCGGATCAGAATTTGGGCAAAAATGGCGAAAAATCGGACTAAGCTCGTGAGGAAGACGAAGATCTGGGTCCCAGACCGTCCGGTCTACGGACGTAGACCGTCCGTTCTGGGACACGGCAGAATGAACACGTAGAAATGAACAGGAACGACCGTTCCAGAACCCAGACCGTCCGGTCTGAGAAACAAGGGAGAACGGACGGTCTGAGTGTGCAGGACCGCTGGTCTGGACCACGTAGAACGGACGTTCCGAACGAACGGAACGTTCGGTCTGTCCTCGTAGAACGGACGGTCTAGGCATTTTAAACAGTGAAAAATCCCAAAATGGCTGGACCCCGATTATAGGTCAAATGGATTAGACTGGAATGCGGTGTTAAATGGTATTTAAACGAAATAGAATAAAATAAATATGACGAACGAACGTGAAAAAGGTAAAAGTAAATAAATGAAATGAATTAAACCGAAATGAATACGAAGGGTAAATCTAAGAGAAGTACTCGGAATTGCGATATAGAAATAACGGATAAATAATTATGATGATGCATGTGATTGAATGACTAAGGAACCCTGTACTTAGTACCGGTTGACGGCGTGAGTCAGTGCTAGTACGGGGATGTGTAGATATTGAACCAGTGCCGGTTGACGAACTTGGAGTCAGCACTGGGTGATGTGTGGTTTCAGTAATAGTACCGGTTGACGAACTTGGAGTCAGTATTATTACCAAAAACGTAATACCAGTACCGGTTGACGATGTGGAGTCAGTACTGGTATAGTTGGGTGGACATTT